CTGTTCTCTGATAAAGCACGCTGTTTCAGCCAATCAGAGCGCGCGTTATATGGAAACTTTATTATAATTTGTTCTAAAAACAGAAAAATTGTACCATATCATAGGGACAGCCCCAATACTAGAAATGGCGCGCGCTTACGGTCTCCGTTCCCGATTATGGCTCCTGGTATTAAGGTATTAGGGTGTTAGGGTATTATGGTATTGGGGTATTAGGGTATTCGGGTATTCGGGTGTGAGGGTATTGGGGTACTGGGGTATTGAGTTTTTAGGGTATAAGGATATTAGAATAGGGGTGTATTGGGGTATTGGGTTATTAGGGTTTTGGGTATTTGGGGTATTTACGTATTGGGGTATCAGGGTAATAGGGTATTGGGGTATTGAGGTATTGGGGTATTAGTGTATCAGGGTATTGGGGAAATATTTTCTCGTATCCGCTTTAGTACACGTTTCACTCTTCCCTATTTTTATCAACCAATCATGCCACATATTTCGTTGAGTATAATTTGAAATTCTATAACCGTTTCATCAACTTAGCTTTATTGTAGTCCCTGAAGAAGGTTAATCCCGTCTAACCGAAATATTGGGCATTGAATTTATCCTTTTCAGCCGTCCGGTCAGCCTTTCAATTGGTTTTATGAATTACTCTTATACCCTAATTTCCCAACACGTCTATACCCTAATACCCTTATACCCTAATATTTTAATACTATTATACCCTGATACCCTAATACCCCAATACTGCAATTCAGTAATACCCTAATACCCTAATGCCTTCATACCCTAATACCCCAATGCCCTATTACCCTAATACCCTAATACCCTAATACCCTAACGCCCTAACACCTAATTATATAAATGCCCTAAAACCCTGATACCGTAACACCCTAATACCCTTATACCCTAATACTCTAATATCTCAAAAAAGCTGAATCAAGGAAAACTCAGTGTCCCAGGTTCAGAGTTTTAGTACTGCAAACTTATCTCCAACAAGAAGTTCTCTGGATGCGGCCACCCTCGGGAAAATTGGAGGAGGCCATTTAAAAGGGGTTGGTGTATTTTGAATATTTATCACCATCGAGTTAACTTGATAGAGAACATGGAATAACGCCAAGACAATCATGATAAACGTATGTTTGAATGTTTTTACCAGGCGTTCCTTTCTATTCCGGACTCTTATCTGTTATCGCCTTTTCCGAAAAAAGGCAAACTACAGGTTGTAAATTTTGGGTGGCCGCTTAATAAGGGTGAAGACAATGGAAAACCCTAATCGGAACGACCAAAAGGTGGCCGTTAATAGAGGTTGCCAGTTTTAATTTCGGTATTTTACTGACAATCATTTGGGAATTTACGTGAACAATTTAACAACCCCATAACAAAAGAAACTCGTCCGTTTATTAATTACTATAGCTATAAAAGCAAAAAAAAAAGAAAAAAAGAAAAAGAAAAAATTATATATACACAAAGTATATAAAAGCGATGTGATTCTCTAATGTAAATGACTGAGCTTCTTCGCGGATTAGTTTGCTGCATGAAATGAATGTCCCTCTTGACGAGCATATTGCTGACTACATTGGCTTGGACGAACGTCTTCGATTAGGAGAGTGTGTCCGCGAAATAACTTCCTGTGGGACAAGAAATAAAAAAAAACATCGACTTCCTAATTTCAAAACTCCATCCTCCACTAGCACAAGGTTGACTTGTTTCTCATTGTCGCGGGGCACGTGATTAACCTTAAGTGTTAAATCATTTTATCACTTGATAGTTTTTATAGATTTCATACTTTTGCATTTTACTTCCTGTTGTAAAAGAATAAAATCATATAAAGTTACTATTGATTCCGTTTTTCAGACCTGTGGATGTTGAAAGAGAGACTGGAAGTGAAAAAAAAAAAATCACAGCAGAAGTAATTAGTTGATGTAAATTGCAATTTAGCACAAGTTTTCTTAGTTATTTTATCACGGTTTACCTGTGGACAGTTGAGAAATGGCATTTCGTAGCAATCTTTGACTCGAAGGTTTTCCGTGCGCGGCATCTGATATGTTCTGCTTATTTGTAAATGGGCTGCCTCAAATCTGTCTTTCGTTGCCTAACGACATATAATTGAGACATTACCGAGTCATTGTAGTTATATTTAAAGAAGTATGGATTATTGACCAAGTGTGAGGTCAAGATGGCTGGATATTGGCCAAGTTCTTTTTTTGCGTGTTTATGGACCGAGAGATTACATCTTACATTGTAAATTTTTTTTTAATTCTTATTTTGTAATTATTCGTTATTGTTTATTTATACACGACCCCACAAGCTGCAAGCTTAATTACTTATCGTGTTTAAATAAAGGTTACTTACTTACTTACTTAGACGGAGTCGAGGTCCATAAACCCGCAAAACAGAACGAGGCCAATATCCAGCCATCTTGACCGAACAAGCTTGGTCAACAAAAGATTTCTTATAGGGCTTTCGGGGAAATTTTTCTTGCGGGACACGGCGGGTAGTCCCGAGCGGGCAAGATAGCTCCATCTTGCCCGCTCGGGTAGCCAATAACAGCGCAGGATTTGATTTATCTTGCTCCCTCACAGAGCTAGCCATATAATAATTATGTATATCACATATTTCAAATAGGGTATTTGAAGTCACTCTAAATGATTCTAATTTTTCCTTATATGTTGGAGCATTGCTGACTCTAATATACAATTTGTTTAATTATCTTTTTACATTCGTTGGAGCATAATTTGAATGTCATAAAGAAGACATAACCTACTTTCACTTTAACCACTTTAGTGTTGGGAACGCTGCGTAAGGAAAATCGCATCTTCTCTGTAAAAAAAAACACACACACACACGCACCTTAGTGTACATTAATGTGTTTGATCTCACATCTGATTTTTATGATCAACAGACTTGTGCTAAACATAAGCAAATCATTAAACGATAGAAAGACCACCCTTTAAGTAGATCCTCTGTTCAGTGTGCGCGACTGAAGAGATTCGTCCATAGCGTGGCTGATAACTAAATTCATCAACTAGTATGCGTTATTGCTGGTCCGTTATTTTCAGTATTTTATGTATAGTGGACAATGTAAATTACAGTAGAATCAAGTAACTGCGTACCTTGAAGTTTCTTAGCACTTTTAAATTCTGTATTATCTTGCTTTGCATTGTTAGCTGTTGAGCCAGCCAAGTTCACCTGCTGCACGTACAAGCAAGCATTATCACGTAATATAACCTCAGTTGGTATCTCTTAGATATCTTAGATATATCGAATATGCTATGATCGAATTGAATTTTCCATATCGTTGATTACGACTGATATTTATAAAAACAATGTATACGACAATATAAAATATACGACAAAGTTTCTTTATATGGCAAAAACGAGAAATTCATTCAGCAATTTCAGATAACGGTCTACATACATTTCTAGGTAAATGTATTCCTATTTACAGGAAAAAAAAGCAAGGAGAAAAACAGACAAAAAGCAAGAAAATCATTTCAGTCGTAGCGTGGGTGCATCTGATAGGGGGAAAAAATTATCTACTGTTCTCAAACTCATTAATATTTGATTAAGTGTAAACAAAAGAGATTATGACCGTGACGATGTTTGGATATCCGATCTTAATTAGCATAGATTTTTACAATTTTATTTCTCCGTTTCCTCGTAATTTTTAATTTTGATTAAGAGAATATATCAAACACTCAAGACAGTGTTTGGCTGCATTTCCAGACACAGAAGTTCGTCAAAAATACTCCGCTGCGCGTTGTATTTTCAACTCTCTTCTTACTCTTTGAAAATGCGGTGAAACACGGCCTATCGTGTTTGATATACCACGTGAGGCACTTCCTCTCTTCTAGCGTTAAACTTTTCTCATCAGTGGAGAGAACTCTCATTTTCGACCCAAAAACCTCCAAGAAGATGACGTCAGTACTTCCACAAAGATTGGTTTCGGATCTCGGGGAGTTTACGTACGGGCGATAATTCTAATCTGACTAACACCCACTCAATCGCAAACACTTCATGGATCTCTACACAGCTTGCGAGTATGGAGATTGTCCAAATAAATCAGATGTCTTTCGAACGGAAGAGAGTTTAGTGTGTGCATGCAAAGTGAAGCCTCTGTATTCTGGCCAACTTACTGAAGCTGCAATAGACGATGCATTGTCGGAACCACGAGACAGCAGCTGTCTTTGCCTCATCCGTTTGAATGCCGAGCGGACCTGTAACAAAATAAGGCGAACTGTAAAACGTAAACAGCGAAAGATGCCACAATAGAATATTGTTGTTTCTGCTGTCATTAGCATAAGCATTGTATTTTTCTTGCTACATGTATTATCTGCAATTACTTATTCTGTAAAGCGTGCAAATATGGCTTGTCAATACGTCAGTTACTATAATGATATATAGTTTTAGTGATCTGATCTCATCTTGTATTTCTTGGGAAGGAACCTAAGTTTACAAGCCCCGTGGTTTTTATTAGGTTCCCTCGCCATTTTTTCATTATTTTTTTCCATACTAATACTTGTAATTTCTTTGTTTCTTTTTTATGGCAAATAAATATAAATAGTTAAAAATAAAATAAAAAATAAACTAGACTACAAGTAGTCCCTCTTTCGCTTAGTCCGTCATGCGTGACGCGAAAGAAAACTGCGAGTAAAAAATGGCCGCGCGAAATCCCGGGGGCGAGGAGCGCGCGCTCCTCGCCTCCAGTATTTCGCACGGCCATTTTTTTTCTCGCAGTTTTCTTTCGCGTAACGCGCGACGGACTAAGCGAAAGAGGGACTACTCGATGTGTACACCAACACTAAAAGAACAAATATAAAACGAAATAATATTGCCCCTTACATCGCTGCTTCCCACACAGTGAGCCAAGAAGATAAACACTCCCTAGAAATAATTGAAATTAACAATGTCTAAGTTAACGTGAAGTGATTTTTTTTTTATTTTTAACAGTTACCAAAAGTTTGTTATATACATGTAATTGAACTGCTCAAGGCCGCTAATTTAAGACGTCAATGTGGATTTGATTATACTTGTATCTACTTTCAAGGAAAAAAAGAGCTTGGCGACTTTTGCAATTCTTTGAAGAAAAGGATTGTGAACGCTTTCTGAGCATGTTACATATGAACAGCATTTTTCCATATCTATCGTGAAGAAAAATAATTGTTACCTGGAAGCTATTAGCAATGGCAAATATGTACTGAAAAGCTATCGTCTTTTTGTTTATAGTCAGAAGCCCAAACGCCCAGGAAACTCCAAGTAGAGGCAATAACACTGCTACGCTTTTCGTTCCAGCCCTGTAGGAAACAATAAAGTAAGTACCATAATAGTTTACAAATTATTGCTTCTGGCGTGAGTAAGCTAGAGAGATATAGTCTGATAACAAACAGCTCAAATAAACAAGGAAGGAATTCTTTCAGAAGAATTGGGCTTTGATAGTATTATGCAGCAAAATAACCCACAACTTTCAAGTAACAGTTTTCTTTATTTTAAGAAAACTAAGAGGTAAGAACAGCCGCAGCTGGGTTTTGTCATAAAGTTTTCTATTTCAGTCGTAATTACAAATTTGCAAATGACGTCCTTAGAGACGCTGGTTTTTTCTTAGGCAGCAAACAACTGATAAAACACCAAGCGGAACACTAGGACAGGGAATCAGTCGACAACAAGTTAAAACTTCTGACGGCGTACGACTGTTGAAATACGAGGGCTTAGCTAATTGCATTGACAGCAGTCTTGCTCAGCCGAAGGTGCATGGTATGACACTAGTGTAGGTAAATGTATATTATCTAAATTCTATATTCTAACATATTTTGTGCCAAGTGGAACAGTTATGATTTTCAGACGGAAAACTAAGTTAAACTAATGAAACCATGGAAAAGGCCACATAATCAGTTTAAATCCTTTTGAGTCTTCAATAAAAGTAGTTACTGTATAATTCTGACTTACTTGACGTGTCCATAGTCTGCTTGCGTCAATGTTGCTGACGCGGAATCAGTTACCACTTTCATAACTGCAGCGAGGACAATTAAGTTGATCTAAATGTGAATAACACAATTTTGTGTTATTTTGAAGCTTCTTGAATGTAAAAAGACGTCAAAAAAGTTTATCATTAAATTTTTTAAATAAAACATACACACATCTGTGAAAACGAATGTTTTTGCTACTCGTGGTGCTAGACACAAAAACGGATCTTTGCTCACCACAATTACAGCCACAACTGGCGCCAGAAATACCCAAATAAAGTGGTCTTCTGTCGAAAGCCAACATCTGATGGAAAGGGAAGAAGAAATATATTTACTCTGTAAACAAAACAGTTTTAGTCTGCAATCACTGAAATCCCTCCGTTGATGGGGAATTGAAGAAAGAAAAGCTCATTCTAAAGGAAGTGTTTTCTGAATACTTTGGACTGCTTGTAAATGACATACTTACACTTTGCTTGTGCCATATCCTGTTGGGTGAATTGAAGCTGCCACTCCAACAATAACGACTGGAACACCTGCGAAGTAGGCAAACCTTTGCAACACAAGTCTACAGACGTATTTAAACTTACCCCACTGTCCTGTAGACGCAGGGGTAACCAACATATATCATTTTCTTTTTTTTGTCTAAGGTGGTCTTAATGTCTTGAACTTGGCCTGTGTCGTTCAAAATTTCATCCGCTTTTCATTAAATGTTTGTTGGAGCTATTACTTACTAAAAAAAATTCAGTTTCTAAGTTAGGGTTAGGGTTTTGATTACTACGTTTGAACATCGCTATGTCGATTGTGGTCAATTCATCAAAGAGTCGAGGTGTCATCAAAGGTTCGTTGTTTGTCAAAACTCGGAGATAATCCATTGAACAAATTAGAAAAAGAAAGACTTACTTACCCCATCCAATCAAGTAGTAGTATTTCATTCTCACGCTGTCAGCGCTGAACACGCTAACGATCATGACATAAAGATGGAACCCTTCTATACACATCCAAGTGAAAGCCGCTGAGAACAAATAGTGCAGGCCTACTGCTATAACACGGCAAAGGATCTAAAAAAGTACATATTTCGAAGTAAAATATTAGAAGTTTGCATGATACAAACCTCAGCCACCATGTACAGAGAAAAACAATTAACGTACATGATAATTTCGGTGGATCATCAATGCTAAGGCTAACTTCGAATCTAGAAGACTGACGTATCATTAGGGCCATTTATACGAGAAAAATAATCCGCGGCTTACACAAGCCGCGGATTAAATAAGACGTGAACTTGACCATTTATACGAGCGTGGCTTATACAAGACGCGAAGAGCTCGTATAAACGGTTCACGGCTTATTTGTGACTAATGCTTCGCTTCGGTGTTCGTTGTCATAGCAATCGTGGTCCAGTCAACGAGCAACCAGGAGCAACGAAACGAGACGGCAGGTTTCTTCGCGAAGAAAACGAAAGCTTCAGTTAAGTATTTTGCACTACGGCTTCTAAATGAAATTTTTAG